GGCTAGTCAAGTAGAGAGCCAATTTAAAATCGATAGTTTCGTATTGTTTGTTGGTAGAAGTGTTGCCATGTGGTACACTGAAAAATAGCAAAAGGAGGTTCGTGACCAAAGTCTGGCACTTCGTTTGTTATAATACATTTGAAAATCTTCTAAGGACACTCTATGAATTCACTCTGCAAACCTCAATTCCGTGAAAAATACTCCTGAAAAAAATCACTTAGAGTTCTCCTCAACATTTAAGTAGTACCATAGAGGTAACTCTAAGACCACTGGGTCCCGAAGAAAATCATTATTATTTTTGGCTCACTCAGTACCAGAACAACGGTCCCAAGCAGTCCCAAGCTATTTCACTCACCCCTGCATATTCTGCATGAATCCACACACCCCTGATGTTATCTGTCAAACTTTCATAGCGAATCAAAACAAACATAGTGTAGTAATAGAATTTCAACTAGAATAGGGTACGTTAATCGTTTGCTTGGGACCAATAGGCTACTAAAGTGGTGAGCCAATTTAAAATCGTTAGTTTCGTATTGATTGTTGGTAGTACTCTCCAAATATTCTCAAGGAATTCATAGGACTTCTTTATCAGTTCTGCTCAGAGCACCTATTAATTCTTTAAAATGTTCATCATAATTTCTTTGTAACTCGTTTTTGAATTTTCTAAAAATTATCACTATTACATTCTTGGAATACTCCTCGGAATTCCTTGGAAACTTTCCTCATAATTTCGTTGAATCTGTCCTCGGAATTCAATTTCCTTGTCCTATTTCTTAGAATTGCTTTTAAATTTTCCGTACGCATTGGAATCATTTTCAGAATTTTCGTTGAACTACCATCAGAATTTCCTTTGAATTTCGTCTAAAAATTGACAAGCTCCTCACATTTTTTTAGGTTTCTCCTCAAAATTCAGGTCAGAACTCTCTTGGAATTCTTCCTTGTTTCCTTTGATTTGTTTTCCATCAATCTTGTTTTCTGTACTGTGTACCAATTTTACCTACAGCCTGCCAATCGACCGATCAACTCATGGACCCGGAACCAACGGCTTTACTTCGGAGTGATCAGAGATGATATGCCTCAGAAAATTCCGACGGCGCCGACTGGGATTGAACCCAGGCCTCTTAGAGTGAAACGCAGTCACGCTTACCACTACACCACCGGCGCCGTTTTCTACCGTATGCGTGATAATGTTTGCACCATCGTACAAAGAAGGTTCCCGTTTCACCTGTACATACAATGCCTTGGTTTTCTTTGCATGCACGTAACCTATAGCTCATACCGTAGTAGCATAGAGGTAACTCTAAGACTAGAAGGTCCTGAAATAACGTGCTCAACTTTTTGGCTCAGCTCTGGTACCATAGAGATAACTCTAAGACCAGAAGGTCCCAAAGAAACGTGCTCAACTTTTTGGTTCAGCTCTGGTACTATCTTCGGTTCCAAGCTAATCGATGCACCCCTCGAAACATAGGAAAATCCACGAACCCCTCATTTTATCTGTCAAACTTTCATAGAGAATCAAAACAAACAAAGTGTAGTACTAGAATTCCGACTAGAATGGAATACGTTAATCGTTTGCTTGGGACCAATAGGCTAGTCAAGTAGTGAGCCAATTTTAAATCGTTAGTTTCGTAGTTCCGAACACGTCGTTAAACAAAATATCCATAACAATTTGATTACGGTGTCCAAGCAATGTTTATACATTCATTAGATTAAAATTTATTTTAAAATTATAAGTCCGAATAGGCCTTTTTAATAGAAACTAAACGATCGATTCAACCTCTGGTGGTGAATAGGAGGACGTCAAAAAGAGTGTTGTGAGCATAAATTTTTGCCTTGAGACATAGGAAGCGGAACACTTTTTTACTTTTCCTGATAAATTGATTCATCTGAGATGCTGCAAAACTTAATCTACAGTTGAAAAATTTAATTCTGTAACGTTTTTGAAAAGATCCTTCTGGTGTTCAGGAATATTTTTGTTGAGAAAAATGGAAAATTAGAAAAGTGCCTTAGTGGTTATGATCTTCCGGATTTCTTGTGTGTGAATAGTTAAGGTGCAAATCAGTTCAGATTTGTGAAAAATCGTACAATAAGACAATTAGCGATGGAAATTGGCAAGATTTTGAATGAAAAATGCTGTTATTTGCGTTGGGGAAAATACTTATTCTGATGTAAACAAACGGTTTGGTTGACGTTTCTTCTTGAACTCGCGTGGCGCACTCTACGTTGGTGGTGCATTAAAAAGGCGTATAACGGCGTGGAATTCGTCCCTTGTATTCCAATAGTTTTGCCTTTGACCGAAGACAACAAATCAAGAAGACTGCCATTGTATCTGGCTTGATTTGTTGTCTTCGCTTTGACGTTAGGAGTTTTAACAAGTTAGATCCTCGGAAATAACGGTGTCTGGTCGTTAGTGTGTGAAGTATGAAAGAAGTTTTTTTTGTGTATTAATTTATTTGTACAGGCTCAATTGAATAAACTTTACAGAGCCAAGTTATCATTTGAGTTTTACATAATTAATGTCTTAAATCTACTGTGTTACCTGACTTATAACGAATATACGTTGTATACGAGTACCCCGAATACAACGTATGACTCGTCTAATTTTGCATAACATTTGCAATGTAAAATTAGACGAACTATACGTTGTATTCGGGGTACTCGTATACAACGTATATTCGTTATAAGTCAGGTAACACAGTAGAGTTAAAGGAATTGAACCGATTACTCGCGGTCGTCTCGAGGTTAGTAGAGATTTACAGTTTCATGGATGGGGATAGGGAGAAGGAGGTTTGAGATATGATTTACGATACAAATATTTCATTATTCCTAAAACATGAACTTATTCATATTCAATTTGGTATCAACAGTGTAATTATACAATTATTACAGAAACCTCATTAACAAAACAAAAAAACACACGAACAAAATACAAACTAAACACAAGGTTAGTCAAACTTACAATCTAAGGTTAATATGCTTAAAGAAAACATATATGAGTTTCATAAACTCCAGATCGCGTCTACCCAAAATATCCCGAACTGGAACATTAGGTTGTCGAGCCCGATGGGAATCGTACAGCCCAGATCTGACACCAATCTGATGCTCAGCACATGACCAAATAATGTGATCTGCGTCCTGGTAGCCTTGTACACATTCACAGAGATTGTTGTCCCCCAGCCCAACATGGAACAAGTGAGCGTTTGACGAGTAGTGCTTGGACAATGTGAAAAAGTTATCAGATTGGTTAATTCCTTCGAAGAGTGGTGAAAGTGAAATGATTCTCAGAAAATTAAATTCCATGAAAATTACCAGTTTTCCAGGCAGTAGACACTCTTTTTGTTTGAACACAAATGTATACACGTCAAATAAATCATTTTTAAACTATTGATTCCCAACAAACATTAAAAGCTGAGTAAATCAAATTCGAGTAAAAATGTGCTGCATTGGCTAAAAAAATGGCTTATTTAGCTCTTAATCAGTTCAAATAGGCAAATCCAATTGGCAAATCAAAGTTGGCACTCGTGGAGAATAGAAGAACTATGAAAGTGATGATGGTTTCCAAATTTTCCACGGCGAGGTATACGAATTCAATCTTAAAATGCTTTTATTTGGCTAATGAAGCATTTTATTTAATTCTGGTTGCTGCTTCAGTGGTAGAAAAGCTAAAATCTATGCATACACCTAAAAATCTGAAAAGATATTATTTTTTTCTACATTATATGTCTTTTGAGTAGTCCTTAAGTTTTCTACTAACGTAGCATTAACCAGATTAAAATAAAACGCTTCATTTGCAAAATAAAAGCATTTTAAGATTGCACTCGTATACCTCACCGTGTAACATTAGGAAACCATCATCACACTAATAGCCTAATAGTTCATCTATTCTCCACGAGTGCCAACTTTGATTTGCCAAGCGATTGTTTCAGCCTCTGGCGGTGAATACGGGAACCTTCAAAAGAGAGATGAGGGTGGAAATGTTCACCGTGAAGCATAGGAAGAGGAAAATATTTTCACCCTTCCTGATTCATTTATCCACCGCAGGTGCTTGAAATCATCATCCGCGTGGAATATTTTGTTTTCTGTATCGGGTTTGCAGTAATCCGGCTGGTACTTTCATATATTTAACTTATAACTTGAATCTTCCCGGCACATCCTTTTTATGAGGGTCCACTCTTTTTGGGTGCATTTTGCCAATTATCTTTGTAAAACTATTGGCAACCCTGCTGTATACGCAGTGTTGCAAAGCATAACTTTCAAACAAGTTTGCTTGCAACCAACGTCGTTACAAGCCGTTTCAGGCTTCCCATGGTGAAAAGGACTATGACATCCCGAGAAATATGACGTAATAAACTTAGCACTTTGATGAAGTAAGCAGTGTGGAAAAACATCTAGTACAAAGATTCATTCTTTGGATTTGATTTACTTCAAAACAAAGTTATTCATTCATATATTCATTCAATTTATAATTTGTGATGTATTAAACTCATATGATCTGTTCTGGATGCATCGCTTTTTGCATAATTCAATGTCATGTGAAGCATACCCTAATAAAAATACCATAAACGAATGATAACACACATGGTTGAACCATTCCACAAATTGTTTGGATTATACACAGTACACGTCGTTAAGCAAAATAACCATAACTATTTTATTAGTGTATCGCCATAATAAAATAGTTATGGTTATTTTGTTTAACGACCTGTACTGGGTATAATCCAAACAATTTGTGGAATGGTTCAACCATTTGGGTTATCATTCGTTTATGGTATTTTTTATTAGGGCGCAATAAGTTGTAGTCATGTCTTTTTTTATTATCGTAACGCATTCGGGAAACCAATGTTGTTGTCACTTCTTTATATCAAGACGCCTTCATGGTGTGCGTGTGCTCTGATGTCGCCGCCGTCAGATTTAAAGCGAAGATCGCCATACATCCGATGTAAAGCCGCAGCCTGTTACCGTGTCAGGGTGTCAGGCCAGAAAGGAAGTAGTGTGTGTAAGTCATTAGTCATAACAAAAGTTGAAAGCAGCGACTAACTAGTCATCTCGAGCACAGTGTGATTAGAAAAAGTAATTTTCAAGTGCTTGTAGAGCAGGGAAAACCTGAAATAACTATTCGGAATCGGCACCAACTTTGGCCCCTCGAGATCGGTTTACTTTTGATCCATTTTGCCGCTGTTTTAGGCCGAAAAAAGTAGCAAATCGAAGCTAACAAAAAAAAAATGTTGAACGGTAAGTGCATTGTGTTTGTGCGGGTGGAAAATTTTTGCACGTCTCTGCCTCCTTCCGAGAAGTTGGGATGGAAAATTCGATCCCCGTCGACAGGGGAGGAGGGGTGTTTTGCATGAGAATCTTTTTGTAGTCGGGAGTATTCCAGCGGAACTAACGTTAATTTTTGTTTACTGTCATTGGTATTGCACTGGATGGAGTGAAATTTGCAAGTGTGTAGGACTTTACCTAGATATGCGAACGAGATAAAGATGATCTCGAGTGGGTGCCGAATGGGATGAGAGGGGGAGGTAAAAACAAAAAGAATGCGATTTTGCGGTACATCCAATGCCGTCGTGTGGCCCCAGATGGGAAAATCGCGTGATGTGTTTACTGATGACGAGATCAACTGTCAAAATTTGTTATGCTTGGCGGTGTAGATTGAATTTAGCGATTATCTACTGTTATATTCTGTTCACTGAGTGCTCCTCTAATGAGCAGCAGTAGAAAATTAGAAAATTCTAGAACTTATTGGTTTGTTCTGGTAACATAAGATTGTCATCTGTTTTCTGTTGAGCAAAGAAAATAATCCGTATAAATGTATGTCTATAGCTTGTTGTGCTTGTTTGAGAACCATTCTTCTTGAGCAGGCGACTGCTTATAATCAAAACTGATAAGCCTAAAATCGTTCTTGATTTTTTATTAGAAACTAAACTTGTTCCCAATGAAAAACCTTCTACCAGATTGCCAATTCTGTCTTTGAATAATACTTTTTTTTTTCCATCTCACTCATCTGAAAACATGTAACTAGTTTGCTGTATGTCAGTACTCTTTATTGATTGGTGATTGTGAGTAATAGTACATTTATATACATTTACTCAAGCAAAGTTGATTTTTTCTCGAATAGTGTGATGATCTTGTTTCCTTGAAAGGGATTGTTTACATTCCACGCGGTTAGCTTTTGAGACGTTTCAGACAAGCGTGGATAATTATCGATACGGTGGTGTCACTGCTATTTCTCGGAAACTGATATACCCTGGAATGCCTTTTTCAGAATGATACATTACCCATAGGTTTTTTTTTATCGGAATACCATTTTCCGGAAACACCACCGAGTAAGCTCTTTTTTTAATTTCATACTATTGCGTACTGACTCTGTCTGAGTTAGTGATTCTTTGAATCCAGGAAAATCTTTAATCTAAAAATATAAAAACCTACCTAGTTCAACTGAACGTTTCGAAGCATTTGGATTGTCGAATGCAGGTGTTGTACAAGATTTTTTGTAAAATAATCCCAGTTGAACGGTAAAAGGGCAAAAAACCCAGATCATGATGTAAAGAAGAAGTCAACTCCAATAGAAAAATGATTTGTGAGTATTTCAATTGAATTTTTAAAAACTTTTATTTTTCAAAGGACTGCTGACTTTAAGTAAATTGGTACGCACAAAAAGACCTGTAATTCGTGATTCAATAAGTTTAAACAGCCCATTAATGGTTACTTTATAGTACTTTTATTAAAACTTCAAAGTTACAGCATTAGATAGTTACATTTCCCCAGTTCGAACGGAATCTCGAACCTTCCTCTTGATGGAGCCCATCTGCGCCCGCACAGTGGAAGTGGACACGGAATCAGCGCATTTCTTCCATTTTGCCCGCATTTGCTGGATGTCCTTGACTGTCCCTCCGCTTCGTCGAAGTCGCTGCTTTGAAATTGCCCAGTATTTTTCGATTGATCGAAATTTTGGGCAATCCGGAGGATTTATTAGATTGGGGACAGAGTAGTGGCAACTAGCCAAATCGGACCAAAATATGTCTTTGTCCCTATGCTTGCGGATAAACAGCAATACACGCTTTTTCAGGCATTCTTCGATGTAAACTTGGGATGTCATCGTCGAGGATGTGACGAATGGTTCCGTTTTAAGGCCACAACTGCAAATCGCTTGCCAAATCATGGCCTTCCTCGGGAATTTTTCGGCAAACACGAACTTGAATCTTCCCGGCACATCCCCACGTCCAGTCGCGATGTAAAATGTTTGACCGGGAAGCAGCTTAAAATCGAGTTTGACGTATGTTTCGTCATCGATCAAAGTGCAGCCCTTGTGTTTTGTCAAAACACGGTCGTACAAGAGCCTTGCACGCTTTTTGGCCACAGAATTCTGCTTCATGTGCCGGTTCGGATGTTTACTGGCTTTGTACGATTGATTGATTGATTTATCTTTATTTAGGAGGCTTTCAGCCTGAGGCTGGTTCGCCTCCAAAACGGCTTTGTACGACTTGTATCCTTCCCTGGCAAGGATGTTCCGCACCGTTTGAAAGTTGGCGTTGTACCTTCTTGCCACGTCTCGTATCGAAAGACCGGGGTTGGCTTTAACGCACATCAACACCTTGCTGCGCAGCTGACGATCCCTGGTCCGAGTTTTTACGTAGGTATGCTGAAGTAATGAAATTGGGTTGTTAGCGGAATGCTTAAATAAAACAGCAAAAAAGGTTATTTTCCATTTAATTCCACTTAATTAATTTTGGTATCCATGACAGATACGTATTTCGACTACAATATGCAGTCTTCATCAGTGTCATTCCCATTTAAGCATTCCGCTAACAACCCAACTTCATTACTTCATTATGATGGCTACCAAGCCTTTGGGATTTTCCTTATTAGAGAGTTGAATAGATTTTTCTCCTTTAGTTTACTTAAATCGTTGGTCTGTACGCGATCGACTACTTTGATCAAACTTGCACCAGTTGTTCTCTATAGAAGTGCAAACAAACCACTGTCAAAGATTTCCGATTCCCAACACTAGAGTACAGTCGCTATATTCATAGTCTGGTGGATAGAATCTCGGGAACAATTGAGTTGTCAAATAGCGGAACCACACGCTAACTTCAGCTTACTCACCGGGTGAGTCGATCGTACTAAGGCCGTTCGCAATGCTGAGTCAAAATTGTTTTAAACTTCTCGACAATTCTATAATTTGAAACTGTTCAAAATAAAACTGCAACACGATCAGCGCAACGCACAGTTCTAAAAGATGTTTGTAATCATCATGTTCCATAAACTTTACTATTCTCTATGAAGTTCTCCGTTTTTTTTTGTGAAGCTCTTCGAAACATCTTTAAATACATACAAAGAAATTTGAAACAGAGTTCCATTCGTGTTTCAAACTCGCTCAGAAATAAAACAGAATACTCGAGCAGTTGCAAATCTGGTGCAAAATAGTGCTCGAATAATGAAACTGCAACTCAGCATTGCGAGAGGTGCGTTTCTGTTCTAGTTTCAAATTGAAACAGTCCTTATAAAATACAACAGCATTGCGAAAGGCCTAACTTTCGTCCGATGTATCGAGTTGTCAAAAACTGAGTAAACGAGAAATGTCAAACTGAGTAAAAGCCACTCAGTCAGCAAAATCCTGGACTTAGAAAAAATGTCAACCATGTTGGAAGAAACTTCCTAGGAAAAGTTACTGAAAACCGGCTGAAATGCCTTCAGGTAAGAAGGAATTGCTTAGGGAAACGGTGTTGAAGCATTTTCTGCTCCGGTAGAATCAATCCGGAGCAGGAAATTTCCATTTCCTTAAATTTCCCGCAACTGAAAATATCGCTGAGTGGATTTGACTCAGTCTACGTGAGAACGTAGTTTATTCAAAAGTGAGTCAACATAAGGCTACTCAATTTTGAGTAGCCCTACTTGCAGCTGAGATGAGTACATTCGGCTCAATTTTGAGTTGACCAGAATAAGCGTGCAGTCGAGCAAATCACGACCAACAATAGAAAAGAGCACATCAGTTATTGCGAACAAAACTTCGGAACCCCTTTTCTCGTGACTCAAAACTTGCCTACGCAAATTAATACCATCTTTGGGTTGGGAAAAGTTTCCCTATCCGATGATGCTGGTAATTTACGTTCGAGCGGCGAGGAAAGAATTATCAACGTTTTGTTTATAAAAGTTGATAGTACCTTTTCGATTGGGGTGTTTAGGGGTAATTGAGGTAAATACATATTGGTTATCTGCATTAAAAATTGAACCGAAATCCAAAATGTCATCAATTTTGGTACACTGGAACTATTTTAAATAAGTACGATTACATTGGCAAAAATCACCATCTTAGCACCCCTTGGTGGGACATGGATAGGAGCGAGCTGTCAACGAATAGATTTAGTGTCAACGTTTAAAAATTTAAATCTTGATTTAAAAATCGTGATTAATGTCTACGGGATCGATAAAAACATCGTTGTGCTCAGAAAACGAAGCTCTATTAGATGATGCATAAAAAAAATGGTATATTTTCGAAATTAAACAACCCTTGGTCTACAATATATTTGATTGTTTCCGCTTTTGGATAAATCGAAATTCTATCAGCCAGACTATGAATATAGCGACTATACCAAAGGGCAATCAACTCTGCAGACTGTGTCGAAACATATCGTAGCACAGTGATCGGCACGTTAGGGCACTCGATTATAAGTATGAGATAGAATATAATATAAAATGGCATCACTGCTTTGAGTTGACATATTGACAAGCGTTGCTAACTTCAAAGTAAAGGGGTGTTTTTTTTTAGATTTTTTTTTCCAGCGTGAGTATTCTCATTCATAATAAAAGGTTGCACAATCGGAAGGATTCATGTTTTGGGTCAGAATAGGTCTGCTTACGTATTAACCCCAGATGACAATGGGATAGGGACTGAAAGCAAATTGCATGAACAAGGATAATTTAGAATCCAGTTCCAATTGCAGCATTGATGTACGGTGTCAACAACAACCCGCAGTTTCTCCCGCAGAACCACTCCATTCTATGGACTAAACGATCTCGGAGATTCGATTGACTGTGGCTGGTGGCATCAGTAGATCTTGTATTAGCAACATTAAGAAGAATGCTGCTAACAGAATTGTGAAGGTAACCACACCAGAGATAACGGAATCCTCGACGGAGCCAATCTGAATCGCGGTTTTAATAAACGCGATCGGAACCGGCAGCAGAGGAAAAGTATGCAATTCCGGCGAAATCAAGTAAGGCTGAAAGTTATG